TCAAAATAACAGTTTTTCAGTTCACTAGTACAGCTTTCTCACATTGTCATAGTTAACAGGACAGATGTCCTCAACAATAGACTACAAAAATAATTTGGTTGCTAAAAGGGTTTTTTAGTTTATTGGTTGGGAAAATACTCTAAGTTGTATCTTCGCTCCACTGCTTTCACAGTCAGTGGCTATTTGTACATGTAAATAATTTTCATCAATTAAATTATAAGGAAACTAATTAAGACATAAATTATAACTAAATGTTGATTACTAAGCATCCAATTTACCCACTTACCTTCTAATTATGTTTGCATATTTTTAAAAACATTTTTGATTAAGAATGTAAGTACAACTTGGGATGCATACTTTTTTTATAGATATAAAAACCAAAAGTTTCTAAGGTCCAGGCTAATTTCTAATTTCTTGTATAGCCACTAATTCATGTTCCATCTCAAGAAGTTCAAAATAAGAAGGAGGTATTTCAAGGACTACCATAATTTTTTCCTTTCTTATAATAACTTTAATTCTAATAAATTCAATTTTTCTCTTTCCTTTTTTTGGGGGGATATACTAAATACCCATACATTTAGTCACTTCATAATCTTTCCTTCCTCTTCCTAGTAAATTGGAAGTAGGCATTGCAGAGACACTTGACATTTTAAAACCAGGCTTTCACTCCTGGGACAATAAGCAGGTCTGTTACTGACTGTCCCCATAGTCGGTGAAATATCCTGGTGTGTCTCAACCTATACCATGTTATAATTTCATGATGAATAGCTTTACAAAAGGTTACAGATAGTTGTCTTTCAGAAGCACAGGAAGAAAATCAGAAAGTACCGAAGTGGCGTGAGCTATCTCTTCACAGAAATAAAGCAAAAAGCCCAAGAACCAAATAAAGATTTTGATAGGAAGCGTACAAATCAATCTTTTTATTTTTTAAAAGTAAGCTACTTATAGTACAAATAGTGTACACTACGACATGTGTTTGTAGCCTGGGAAAATATAAAACACATGTTTTACTGCAGAACATAATGCATTTAGAAAATAAAAGCGGTCTTCTTCTAGGAGCCTAGCGTCTAAAAAGCCACTTCTTATTTTCAATGCTGACTTGTATGTAGTTTTGGCAGAGCACTCACTGTTCGCATTTATATGGATTTCTAGCTTTGATTAGGAAACAAGTTATTGAATTTCTACTTATGGTTACACAATGACTGAATTTTCCCCAAACACTGGAAAGTAAAAATGTGGATGGAATTCTTGTTACCACCTCAACATCATTCAGTTAAGAAGTGAGTTGTCCTCACCAAATATTCACTCCAAAGATGAAAGAGCTGAAGTTATCCAGTCGGGGTGAATAATTTCCCCAAGACCTCACTGGAGCAACAGCAACACATCTGTAATATTGATTTCTAAGACATCTTCCTCTGCCATCTCTTCATTCTCTGAGCAATATTTATAAAGCATGAAATTACTATCACCCTGGGGTTAAATTATATACTCAGGATTCAGTAATAAATGATTAAAAAGACAGAATTCCTGCTTTTAAAGAGTTTTTAAGATAGAGGGAGATGGAATATAAAAGTAAGTCTCCTTTGCAACAAATTCTTTTTTTTTTTTTTTTATTTTGAGATGGAATTTTGCTCTGTCACCCACGCTGGAGTGCAATAAAATGATCTTAGCTCACTGCAACCCCCCTCCGCCTCCTGGGTTCAAGCGATTCTCCTGCCTCAGCCTCCCAAGTAGCTGGGACTATAGGCACACACCACCATGCCCAGCTAAATTTTGTATTTTTAGTAGAGACAGAATTTTACCATGTTGGTCAGGTTGGTCTTCATCTCTTGACCTTGTGATCTGCCTGCCTTGGCCTCCCAATGGGCTGGGATTGTAGGCGTGAGCCACCATGCCAGGCTGCAGTAAATTCTTTGCATACACAGGATTCACAATGCCCTGCTGGAGGAGATACAGTACACTGTCACAGGTTTCCCACAAGAACTGACCTCTACAAGAAACAGAAAGAACTGAAGCCGGGGAAGGAATGGAAGCTCCAGGCATATGGAAATGACAACAGGGTAAAGAAATCATGGCTGGTCCAGGGACCTGTGAGTAGCTGAATACTGGGGCTCAAGTTTGGCCAAGGAAGTGACAGATGAGGCTGGAGAGGTTTGCTGGGGACAAGTCATGAAGGGTTTGTTTACTATTCTGTGTCATTTGGATTTTATGTGCAGTCTTTGTAAAAGTGACATGAAGAGATTTTCCTGTTGGAAGGATGACTAGCTACATCGTAGAGCTAATGTGTAAGGGTGGCCCAAGGAAGCAGGTTTCTTCACAGGTTTTGCAATAAATGGGTGAGGAATGACTGAGGTCTGAACTGGATGGTGCTGGCACATGGAAAATGATGGGTAGATACCAGAGGTATTGCAGGGAGAAAATCTGGGAAAAAAAAGGCGATTAGTAAAGTGTTACTGTAGAAAAAGAGAAGAAAGAAAAGGACCTAGGCATATAAATGGAGCAACTGGATAATGACACAATTTGTTAAAGGTAGGAAACATGGAAAGTGGAGCATGTTTGTGAACTATTGTCTTTGTATTTAGTGATGTGAATATGTACTTATATTTTAGCCAGTTAAACTTGAGCTAAAAAATCCAATCTATAGGAAAGCATGAATTGGAGAGAGAGACTTGAGGTTTAAACATATTAATGAAATGGTGAGACCATTTGACATCACTTGATGTGTAATGATGCGAAGGAAGGGAGGTGTAGCAGTTTGGCCACCTTCTTTCCTTTTTTGTTTTTTTGTTTTTTTAATAGTCATTCTCAGCCAGGCATGATGGCTCACTCTTGTAATCACAGCACTTCAGGAGGCCAAGGCAGGAGGATCAGCTGAGCCCAGGAATTAAAGACTAGCCTAAGCAACATGGTGAAACCCCATCTCTACCAAAAAAAAAAAAAAAAAAAAAAATTAACCAGGTGTGGTGGTGCATATAGTCCTATCTATTTGGGAGGTTGAGGAAGGAAGATTACTTGAGTCCAGGAGGTCGACACTGCAATAAACTGTGATTATGTCATTGCACTCCAGCCTGGGTAACAGAGCAAGACCCTATCTCAAAAAGGTTCTTGCTAGGCCACCTTCTTTCCTAGCTCTTTTGCTTCAGTGTTTCTCGAAGAAAGGATAGGATTTCTGAAAATACTTAAGTAGAATGAAGTGGGAAAGTAGGCGTGAATTCAGCCCGAAGTTAATTTTACTGACAGTTCTCTATGTGCAGTTGTGTTAATGATCAAAATCAGCCAAAGTAACAGCAAGTTATACAGGTTTAGAGAAAGACAAAATTGTTGCCTACCAGATAGATTGTCACCAAAAAAGGATTCCCAAATTGCCAAGTGCTGTTTTCATTTGCTGCCTGCTGTCATTCTAACTTACCCCCATCTATTAGAAATTTCCAGAAGGCATCTTAACTGACTTCTATGGTGCTAATTGCAGAAAACATACTGAATTTCCTTCTTCTTTTAAAGACATTATAGCCTCTTCTTTCCTGAATAAAATCTCGGTCTGAGTCAACATCCTGACAAACGTTTAAACAAACATGGGGCATTAAAATGCAGTTTTAAAAAAGAAAAAGAAAAGGGAGAACTAACTGTGAGATGCCCTGTCTATAAAAAGAAACGGAAGTACATACAGTATTGTGGTTGTTGAGTTTGGGGTGGTATGTTTATGCACTTGAGTGATTTTTGCTTTAAATATTTATTGATTGATGTGAATTCAAACCAACCGCTTAGAAGTTAAAGTTGGGCAGTTGGGGCCAACTACTGTCAGTAGCTGGTGGCTGGCACCCAATGATGGCAATGATTTCACTGGGGGTTAACCATTCACTTGGGTACATAGGTCCTTACATGAGATCTGTTAGCATTCTGTTTCTGCTCTCCCTTGAGCCTAGGATGACAATCATGATAAATTATATCATACTGTGAGGTGGTTTGTAATGAAAAAAAAAATTCCAAGAGGGATCATAACACAACTTCTACACTCAGGCTCTGATACAACACTTAGAAATGTGCCATTGTCTTTTCTCTCCTCTTTCTCTTTTGTCTTTGTTAAAAATAAAAACCCTCACGCCTGTAATCCCAGCACTTTAGGAGGCCGAGGTGGGTGGATCACGAGGTCAAGAGATCCAGACCATCCTGGTCAACATGGTGAAACCCCGTCTCTACTAAAGATACAAAAAATTAGCTGGGTGTGGTGGTGCATGCCTGTAATCCCAGCTACTCAGGAGGCTGAGGCAGGAGAATTGCCTGAACCCAGGAGGCGGAGGTTGCGGTGAGCCGAGATCGCGCCATTGCACTCCGGCCTGGGTAACAAGAGCGAAACTCTGTCCCAAAAATAAAAAAAATTAAAAAATAAAAATAAAAATAAAAACCAAAACCAATACACCCCCACCCAAAGAAGAAACTCACACGCACACAAACCACACACAGGTTTAAGAGAAATGAAATGTGTACTGGGAATAATACTCTTTATCTCGCTAAAGATTAGGATTTTTATCTATGGATATCTATCTAGATATCATGTATGTATGTGTCTTTTTAATTATTCACTTTTAAATGGAAAAGAGATAGTGGAAAATGAATAGATGGGGGTTTGAAAATTATAGATGGGATAAACTGTGGAGTTAGGGAAGCTACAGGTGTTTTAGAAACTAGGTAACAGCTTTCTCCATGGACTTGGACAATTGTGCACTTATGCAAGATTCTCTTTGTAGATATACCACAACCATTAACATTTTGATAAGATCATTTTTGTATCAGAAGGGCTAATTTACTTTATTATTTGAATATACTGGCACTTTAGCATAAACTGGATCACCTTTCTGTTTTTCAGTTAAGCCTACTCTTGGCCAAAGTAAACAGAATTCATCCTTTTAAAGGGACAATGCGATGCCATATTACTTTTCACTGTGAAATTTCTTGCTTTCGTCATTTAAATGGTGTGATATTCTTGTCTTCATTCTCTCCAGGGTCTGCTGGAGACCTTGGCATTTTACTTCCCGGACATAACTTTATTCTGCTGGAGCAATGCTCACATTGCTCTGGAAACACTGGAAAATCTCAAGATGCAGGTCAGTCTGCTCCATGGATGAGTATGAGGCCCCAAGCCATCTCTCAAACTAAAGATTCCCCAGCCAGATAATGCTGAAGAGTCTTCAACAAGGCAATATGATTACTCTGTGTGCTTAGAAGAAGAGGGATTATAAATGTCAGCTGTTGCTCTTTGACTCCTGCTGATTGATTCATTGATTCATCTTTCCAACAGGCGTGTGCTGCAAGTTGATTATACTGAATGACACTGCGGAGGTTATAAAGAAATAAAATACTTTGGGTTTACTCTCAACTAAAATTCTAATTCTTTCTACCATATATTCTTATGTGAGATCTCAGCCTGCTGTATCCAAGTCACCTGGTACCTGGACTAGGGCATTTCTGTATCAAATTAACTTTAAAGGTATTTCAGTAATTAATAATGATCAAAAGTTGGCCAGGCGCGGTGGCTCAAGTTTGGGAGGCTGAGGTGGGTGGATTGCGAGGTCAAGAGATCGAGACCATCCTGGTCAACATGGTGAAAACCTGTCTCTACTAAAAATACAAAACAAAATTAGCTGGGCGTGGTGGCGCACGCCTGTAATCCCAGCTACTTGGGAGGCTGAGGCAGGAGAACTGCCTGAACCCAGGAGGCGGAGGTTGCGGTGAGCCGAGATCGCGCCATTGCACTCCAGCCTGGGTAACAGGAGAGAAGCTCCATCTCAAAATAAAATAAAATAAAATAATGATCCAAAAGTTCTAAATATTGGGAAACTAGATGAGGTGGAAAAGAAAAGGCCACTTGGTAGAAAATTAGATAAAATAGGCATATATAAAATTAAGTGATGTGTTATGGGCTAAAATGTGTCCCCCACAAAATTCATGTTGGGGTCAGTACCTCGGAATGTGACTATATATGGAGACTGGGTCTTTATAGAAATAATTATATTGGCCGGGTGCGGTGGCTCACGCCTGTAATCCCAGCACTTTGGGAGGCCGAGGCGGGTGGATCACGAAGTCAAGAGATCGAGACCATCCTGGTCAGCATGGTGAAACCCCGTCTCTACTAAAGATACAAAAAATTAGCTGGGCATGGTGGCATGTGCCTGTAATCCCAGCTACTCAGGAGGCTGAGGCAGGCGAATTGCCTGAACCCAGGAGGCGGAGGTTGCGGTGAGCCAAGATCGTGCCATTGCACTCCAGCCTGGGTACAAGAGCGAAACTCTGTCTCAAAAAAAAAAAGAAAAAAGAAAGAAATAATTATATTAAAATGAGATAATTAGGGTCAACTCTAATATGACAAGATAGGCATCCTGGTAAGAAGAGGGAATTTGGACTCAGAGGGAAGAATGCATAAAGACACGGGGAGAGGATGACCATCTACAAGACAAGGAGAGAGGCCTTTCCATAACAAACCAACCCTGCCAACATCCATCTTTTGGATTCTAGTCTCCAGAACTGTGAAATAGACTTCTTTTGTTTAAGCCACCCAGTCTATGGTACTTTGTTATAGCAGCCCTGGCAAACTAATACAACATCAAACTTGGAAAGTCATTCAAATGCATTTACTGAGCAAATCATGTGTACAAATCATTATCGTAAATGTTGCATAGTAGAAATTAATTTAGGCGAAGCTCCTTGAAATTCACTTCTCTGACAAGTAAAACCACATTTTTGGGTATCTGAGGAACACACACACATCCAGGAACATAAAGCCAAGTGGGGTAGGGCTTTTATTATGGGCAATTAGGAATTTTTAAAATTGGAACTATCACAATAATGGTAATGAAAATGACAATACAAGCTGCCTATATTGAGTGTCTTCTCTGTGTCAGATATGGCAGTAAGCATCACAACACCTCTCTTTAGTAGAGATTTTTATTACTTTCAAATAAGAAAACTCTACCTATCATCTATCTGTCTGTCCATCTGTCTGTCTCAGTCATCTATCTGTCTGTCTGTCTATCTATCTGGAACCTGAAGCTTCAGTAAGTTGTCTTGTTTGCCCAAGCTCTCATAGCTGGAATTTTAAAGATAAATTCATCTAAGTTCTAACTCAAAGCTCTCATGGTGGAAGGGACATGAGTATAGGCACTTACTGTTCTTGCAAGGAGCGTCAGACACTTTCAAAGGATTCATCTGCCCCAAGAAAAGTCAGCTCTGTTCCACAGGCCCTATCAGTGCCCGTGGATAGGCGCTGGGTTTGAATGTTTACTGAGAGTTCTGAAATCCAAACTAGCCCATCAGGATGGAAACTATCCTGGGAAACTTTTCAGTATTTAGGCCTAAAAATATTATTCTGGTCTAAATACTCCGAAGTGTTTCAGAATTTCAGAATATTAGAAATTTACCCTTCTTCCTCCCCAAACGTCACCCAGTTACTTGAAGAGGAGCTCACAATAGACCTCTCCTTGCCTAACACTTCTAAAGCAGTAGGGAGGAATTCTTGCTAAGGTCTTTACAAGGTCACAGCCAAATATATGAAATAGACAAGAGGACCACATATAAATTTGCATAAAAATATGCCTTGAATTTGCATTTGAATGCATTTTAATCTACATGAAAGTCTATTATTCTTGTAGAATATAAATTTTATAATTGTTCTTATTTAAAGCTGTCATTATCTTTCACGCCTTGTCCACCCCCCATCCCACTTCCAGTTCTTCCCATGATGTCTGCATGCTCAGGGGTGACTTCTTTCATGGCCCAGTCAAGTTGTCACAGGGGCACTGGCACTTTTACATAAAAAGCTCACACTAAGGCAGCCTCCATTTTTTTTCTCTCACCAGAAAATGCACTATACATTTTTCTTTCCTCTTCCTGTCTAGTTTTTTTCTCTCTTAAGTGATTGTAAAATCTACCACTCTCAAAACTTCACCAGACAAAGTTAAACAGGCAAGGAAGACTTCATTCAAGACTATTGCTATTGGGACAGAGACTGAACTCCACACCCTTAAAATGAAAGGTGGGCGAGGTTTTAAACACTGGAGTGAACCAGTGGAAAAGTATTGAAAGACAGGACAGGGGAGGTTGGTCAGTGTGATCAGGCCACCTCTGTTTCCCAACTGGTGCTGATGGAAGTTTGGCTCCTACTCTTTCACAGAGACTGGGAAATAGGGGCTCCTCCTTGATGATGCCATTTCAAAGTGACGGCTCCCAGTTCCTTGAAGAAGACATTCCTGGCTTGTAAAACTTGCAAAAGGAGATTTATATCTTAAAGAGATAGAGAGTTTCTAATTACAAGCTTTCTAGGTAAAGTTTTTCTATGAAAAAGAAGGTCACAGGCCTAGAGTCAGGAAGAAACCTGATTAAAGTTGAATTAAACTGAGGGGACTGTTAAGGCTGTCTTGGTCACTGCAGAAAGAAATATAGTCAATTAAAAGTTATATATGCAGCCATCAAGCCCCTTCCCCATTACTGCCTTCTCTCTTTAGCACCTCTAATATGTAGAAATTTCCTGGTTTATTTGATCAATGTGGAGGGAAGAAAAAGTCACAGTGGGACGTTACAGCAGGAAGGTGTGGAACTCAGAGCAAGTAGCTGCTTTTCCATACTATGTAAACAGAAGATTGCTTTCCAAGTGTCCCCAGTTGTCAATCAGCTGCAATCAAGTGGGCTTCCTCATTTTAGGCATTAAAAGAAGTTATTGTTTCTCTCTTCATTTTAAGTCCTTGATAATCTTTGATGATGGTCATAACGATGTCAGCTAGCAATGAGCCACTGTTTCATAGAAGGCAATGGTTTTGATGTTATCCCGTAACACCCTTGTGAGTAGGGCATGAGTTTCATTCATATTGTGCAGAAAAGCATAGTGACATGCCAAGAAGTGTAGTGGCTTTTGTAGTCATCCAGAGAGTGACATTTTGGAGGAAGTCAGATATTTTATAGTTTACCTCTACCACTTACCAGCCTTGCGACCTTACCTTAGTTACTTAACCGATTTTCCTCATCTATATAATGAGGATCACAATAATATAAAATCTGAGGGTGGTTGAGACAATTTTGTGAGAAAACAATCCACATGCAGCCCACAAAAACTTCCTGAGCGTGTAGAAAACATTTGAAAAATATTGACAACTATGGCTTATGGGATAAATCTGGATTCTTCCTGATTCTGAAACTCATGCTTTAGAATATCATCTATGTTACTGTAGCCTCATCAGTCACCTGAAGTGTTTGAATTAAAATTTTCTATTAAACATGGAATTCCAGGAGCATAAGGGGATGCATGATGCTTACAGATGCCACCTGTTTTTTTTCCTGTCTCAATTTTCCAGATAGATTTTAATTTTTTAATATCAATTACTTGCAGAATCTAGTCTTTTATAACTGCTCTGCAGAGAGTAAAATACTCTCTGCAGCTACCTGACACTGGTTGGATTGTTCTTTGCTCTATGGTATTCTTGATAACAAGAAACAATAAATATCATTTCTTTTACACAATGCATTGTTCTCTTTTCTAATTCCTTTAAGTCATTCTTTGGAGTTTTATCTTCCATAATGGTGCATTTGCAATTATAGTATTTATGTTTGTTTGCTCATACCTTCAGAAAAGCTGTGAAAGCCATATGCAGTACAAATGAAGAGTCATCCATCACATGCCACGGACCACTGCTGACTCCTCAGCAGGGTTTCCCTGTACTTGACTTCTAGGACATTCCCTTGTTCATTTGCCTTCTATCTTTGTCATTCCTATAGCTTCTCCTTCATAGAGAGAGAGGTTATTATTTCTTTATTATTTTATATTCTACTTGCTTCTTGCAAAGTTACACCTAGATTTATTATTTTGTATATGAGTGGTTTATAATTGTAACTTACTTTCTAAATTCATAATTCTCATTCATGCCCATAGAACATAAGATTGACAGGATGTTTTTCTATCCTTGATCTTCTGGACATTGTGGCGCTGATTTCTGTGAAGGTACCTAATAATCCAAACAGGACTGTATTTCATGGATAACTTGAACAATATATGTCCATTTTATGACTTCTCTTCCAAAAACGTGTGCTTCCTTTAGATGGCGATCTCTCAGGGGAATGAAGTGACTGAGGTATTTATTTGCTAATCTTGAATACAGGCAGTTCAAAGTATCTAAAAGAAAACAGATTTCCACATATATTGTTGGAATAATTCTGAGATGTTTTGTTCTTGAATATGTGACACTGTTAATGCATTTTAGTGAAGTGAAATGAAAATTTAAATGGGGTTATCAGAGGCTAAATGCTGTCACTCAGTGTCAGTGTTGATATTTTGGGCATCGTTCCAGCAG